TCTTATAAATGCAAAAATTGAGTAAAAACTAGTAAGAAATTTTATTCAAGAGCTTCCTAGACTGAATTTAAGTTCTGTCTGAAAGATTAGTATCAGATTGGTAATATAAATTAAATTTGATGGATGGATGGTTAATTTGAACTTTTTAAACATTGGAGCTTTCGTTCTGTAAGTTACCATGTGAAACCAAGCTGTGTGAATTTTTCCATTGTATTTCCAACCTACATAGTTTCTAAATTGGTATGAGAATTAAATAGAGTAATGCCTGTAAAGAATTGGAACATTTTAACTGCACAGTAATTTTCAACACAGTTTCAACACAGAACCTAGTATTTGACATATTATAAGTGAGATAGTATCAGATAATAAGCTAAATCTTATTATCACATAAATATTTGATGACTGAATGAATACATTTATAATGTCATTGTAGCCCTTCAGTGATGGTTTAAGATGGTAAATTTTTCCTTTGAGAACTTTTAAAAACTAATTCATAATATTCCATTTGCTAATAAAACATTTCTTTTAGCCTCTGTTAGTAGTTAGAATGGTAACTTAATGTGAGGGTTGTTGTGTTTTTTTAAATATGAATGAAAATTTAAAGTGGGCTTTAGCAACCTTTAGTTACATATTTAAATATTATAAGACATTTAAAATTAGAACTGTGTCATGCAGTGTATTTGAATTTGCATCAAATCCTATGTACACTTCCTATTGATCCTCTCAACACACATAAAAACCCATTTTTTAACCCTGTTTTAAATGTGTGTTTTTTTTTTCTTTAGTTGTCTGGGGAACCCCCAAAGTCACTAGACTTCCAAAACTTGAGCCTCTTGGTGAAACACGTCATAATGGTAATGCAAAAGCACTCGTTTTCTCATATCATCTGTACATATTTACATCCAATTTTCTTTTACTCATAACTTTCATTTGTATTTTATTTTTGGAATCCTGTCAAATTCACAAATGCTTTTTCATTATGTTGTTGCTGCCAAGTACCGTGGAGTCGGTTCCGACTCATAGTGACCCTGCACAGGGTTTCCGAGGCTATAAATCTTTATGGAAGCAAAAAGCCTCATCTTTCTCCCGTGGAACCGCTGGTAGTTTCAAACTGCTGAACTTGAGGTTAGCAGCCTGATTCATAACCACTACTTACTTTTTATTTTCATTTTACTTAATTTTTTATTTTTAAGTACACTTGTATTTCTGCTATTTGATTTGAAGTTTATCTTAATATACAGAAGTAAAAATAATCATAGTTTGTGTTTATTTTATCTTTACACAGATAATTATGAAAAGGGAAAGGTTTTGAGTAACTTAAATATGAGGCATCACAATTATAATGTTAAAAAGCTGCAGTGCCCTACATATTCGCAATATAAACTCTGTGATAATAGCCACATTATTATTTTTCTTTCTGCTCCTAGTAAGATTCTCAGAGGCTGAATACTAAAATGAAGCAAAACTCAACAAAGTCGGTAGAATCACAGATAGAATTAGTAAACCAAATAAAGGTCAGCTAAATGGAATAGAGAGGGACTAGAAGGAAAACTATTTAACAGCTTAATTGACTCAGGAAACAATTGTCTTTAAATTAAAATACCATTAACCACAGTCCTGCCAGTACAATTATTACTTGTTCATCAAGAAAGTCCAATTTCCTTTGTAATAGCTCTATTTACCTAACCTAGAATTTCTTTACTAAGGAGATCCACTCATGAGATTAAACAGTCAGAAGTTATATCAAACTACAAGAATTTTTTTGTTCATGAAATACATGAATATAAATGTGCTCTTTGCTTCCTGTTTCAGAATACTATTAAGTCAGTGAGTAAATATTTCCTCATAAACATGAGTGAAAA